TTTATATGTAAGGCACAAATGTTGCATTTGCTTTAAAATGATTTATATATTCATATGATTTTAATATCCAAATTATCTATCATTGGCTTGTTTCCCATCTATCCCTTGCTCATAAAGATGATAATCATTGAGTTTGTAAGACTTACCCCTTTATCTTCCTTTTGTAGATAGTGATTGGCCTAGCATGCAATCATTGGCACTTATGGTCCACCACAGATAGGTAAAGGCATCTCATAGCACTTTATTCGGAGTCGCTCCACTGCTAGTGGTCGAGTCATTCGTAGTGCATTTGTTTCTGTAAATAAACACTAGTCTCGATACATTTAGATGTAGGTTTTTACATATTTTGTGGGATAAGAGTGTTGGAGGTGTGGATTATATGACTATTGTTCTATACCAGTATTGCCAGAAGATGAAGATTATTTGGTCAGGGATTACATAGATTGGTGAACGAATATAATGAATTAACGAGAGTTTCTAATAAGGCTTGTTCGAGACTTGACAGGTTTTTTCACAAGTTTCGGACACCGATAACAACCGGGAAGAGAGCCGTTGCAAACATTGTATCTACCCACCTCTTGAAGCATGCCTTTTCCTCTTGGCACCTTCTGTCAAAGGCTTGGCTTCTTCAACAAACTCAAATTACTCCAACAGCACATAAAAATGAGGTTTAATCATCATCATTCTCAAAAACCCATAGAAATTTTAGAATACCTAAAATACCCATTTTTGACTCTATTTAGTCCTCACTTATTCCCAATAACTTCAATAAATCTTTCCTCCAAACCTCATACCTAATAAATAAACAACTTATTTTACCTATTTTTCCTCCATGGTGAGCTTCAAATGAAAAGATCTCGCCAAATCTTGAAAACTTAGAAAAATTATTAGTTCTTAGAGAAAGAAAACAAAAATACCAAAACCAGGTTTTTAAGGGTGAAAATCCTTACCTTTAGCATTTAAAATCCATGATTTGTTGATGGAGTTTAAAGGTTTTGAAAAGTGTTAAATTTCAGAGAAAATGGGTGAAAGAACAAAGAGATAGGAAAAAAAATGAGAAAATGTCAAGTTTTAGGGTTTTTAACTCGGTTTTAGGTTGGTTAGGTAGTCTAGGATTGACTACAGAGGGTCTATAGTCAATCTTGGACTAGAAGGTTTTGCATTTCATC